TTTCTAATTTTATTCGATAGACATAAATGTTAAAATATTTATGACTCCATTCTCGCTACATTCGCGACGTTCGTGCGAAACTTCACTGGATAGCGAGTTTTATATCGAGATAAAACCAAAAAACTTAAGTCTCGCAGCGAATTCGCATTAGAATTATCTTTGATGACACGAGAATGCTGGCGGAATGACGGCATTAAACGGCGAAAAACTCGTATTTCTCGAATCTCTTTTGAAAACAAATCGATTAGGCTCGCGCATTTTCACTCGCGCTTACGTTTCGATGCTCATTTTACCGATTTCCTGCTTGAGAATTTCGAAGGACGTTCACGAGTCTTCCTCGCCGTTTGGATTAAACGCACGTCCGTCTCGTAAGCTTCCGTGAAAGCTGGTTCTCTTTTCGGCAAGTTATTCCTGTCGCGCGTATGCGTAAAGGATGATCTCTCTATGCGACGAAGGCCGGTCGAAGGAGCGACTTATATTTACGTAATCGCTGGTGGAGAGATCTCTCTTTTTCTCTCTCTCCCTCTTTTTCGTTCGTATATCACGCCACGGCTTTTCATCGACACGCGACATGATTCGAAGATTCTTGATTCGTGGCACGATGATAAATCAAGCCTGTGGTAGAACCACCTTGATCCCACGGAGGCAACCCCACGTATCAAAGAACCTGCTTATTAAGTTTCTTACATGAAACATAGCGTCGCGAATGTAGCTATACATATTCTAACATTTGTGTCTCTTGAGTCAAATTTTAAGAAAAAAATTTTTTGAACGTTTCAAGTTGAATCATCATATGCATGGGAAGAACGATTTTGCTAACAAATCTAAAAATTTGGTCTGAAAATAGTATAGTTTCGTTGGGCCTTCAAGATTATTTTCGATGTTCAAATTAGTTACTAGAAAATAAAAAATTTTTGCAGTATTATTTTTATATTTAAACGATCTATTTAATAATTTTGATGGATCAACCAAATTATTTTCAGATCTGTATCTGGTCAAATTTTTATATTTTCTCACAAAACTATTCTCAGTGTGTATGTTCGATGTTAGGACGTTGAATTTTCCACTATTCATTAAGAGATCAGACGAAGGATAAATAAATCAAAAAACAAGGTATGTGAAATGGCTCTCGATTCAAGTTAGGGACGATAAGTACATCCGGGTTAAACACATTCCGGATTGACACATTCGAATATATCAATATTCGAATATATTTGCGATTTAGAATCTTCTGGATATAATTAAGAATTGATACGAGACATAATTATTGAGACGTGTAATTATGCGTAAAATAAAACATAAATAAATATCTAAAGAAAAAAAAAGTTGAAACGCGTGCACGCGAAAATTCGCGAATTTTAGTTCGCGTATTTATCGCGGGAATAAATTTTTTCCCATTTCGGACATCGCAATCGCTTTCACAGAAACACCAGCGTCATTATTACTTAGTATTAATAGCGGGTAATTCTAAGCACTCTTATCGATGCACACAGCAGTCATCGAAGATGTACATGCGTACTCGTACATATCATTTATATGTGTTCACGTTGATTTAATACTTACGTATCTGCATAAGAGATATGCGGGCTCGGCAAGGTCGAGGGGCTTTCGTACTTTGTTTGTCGCTTTTATACGAAGCCCGTTTTAGATTCCGTGACGGAATGAAAATGCGTTTTCCGAATTGCACTATGTCGCACATTCGGAAACGTCCAAGCCGAATCGAAGAGCTCGATGCGATAACGAGCAAACTTCATTTCTAAATTTAAAGAAAATTCATTTCATCTAAAACTAGGAGGTAGAATTGTTGAGAGGAGTAGAATTTAGGAGAATCACGATTGCCGATTAATCTTGAAAAAGCAAATCAATTTGTGCAAACGATAGATGCTAAACAACATGAAAAGAATTTTGCTGTAAGATCTAAAAATTTGGCCCGATGCAGATTTGAAAATAATTTTGTTAGATCTTCAAAATTATTACATACGACGCTTAAATATGATGCTAATACTGCAAACTTTTTTTACGTTCTAGCAATTAATTTAAATGTCCCATATAAATTATTTTGATAATCTAACAAGATTATTTTTTCAAATCTATAACCAGCGAAACTGTTCTTTCCATGTAGCTTTAAAGTTTTTGATTCATTCGGGAGCATTAAAACTCATACATTAATTTTCATTTGTTTATTTATAATGATAAATTGATGATACGACGTGATAATACGTGATAATACGCGAAAATTGGCTATGGGCTCGGCGAATTTTGAGAATCACTATCTTGAGGTAACGTTTCGCAATGTTTCTTCGCTCGTGACGTCTTTCATTTGGCTCCGCGACCTCTTTTCTCATTATTAGTTGAGAAAAAAAGAAGTTTCAATAGCGCATTTACGAAGCTTACGATATTGTTCTGCCTGTTTTACATATGAGATCCTGAATCAATTAGCCGACTATCTAACACAATCGTGATTACTGTTCACATTGTCGAACGTTGTCGTATGCACGTTCAGCTGCCCCTTCTGATATGCAATCGTCGCAGCTGATGGAAACGCACTGCGCTTTCATCGCAGGCGCTCTTAGGCGTTAATATTGCTAATCGCTCTTTGCATTATCGACGCACGACGAAACGCATTGGTCAAGTTCAAGGTGCAAGGTGCAAGGTGCAAGGTGCTCGTGATCTTGACCGCGCCATCGTAGAGTCGACTATTTTGTTCTGCGTTTCAATCGAAAAGAATTACATTTCCACTCCTATGAATGTAGATTAACCGTAATTAAACTCGCTTTTAAGAGATTAATTTTAGGAGGATTGTTGACTTGCTTTTTATCTCTTTTTAATTATATTAGAATTGAAATAAAAAGAAAGTTAATCTGAGATTAAAATTAATCTACATTGGATAGAGATGGGCATTAGTTCCCTGCCTTGCTTTAATAACGAAATACAGCGATGCGAGAAGTATAACGAACGCGTGGCTGTAATAAGAAAAAGTATGTGTCTGCTCTTATCGGCTATATGTATTTTTATTGGATTATATACGGATGAGAAGCGATGAGAAAGTTATGAAACGAGAGATTATGTGCCGCAAATCAAATCTAAGAATTAATTTTTTCGTATATGTAAACTTTAAAGGTACTTTAATATTCTTAAAATCCTTTTTTTCTGTTTCCTCAATAATGCTAAATAAATATCCTGACAAATTTTCATTTCATGACCGATTATTACCGATTACAAATTTTACCGTGAGTCCTATTCAAACAAATCATTACATCGCATATTGAAAATATTCCAGTTCTCATGCTATTTTCCTTTTTACGTTGCATTATTGGTTATTATTCTAATAAAAATTCCGTCTCAAAACTTGAGCGAAGATCTATCTTACGTTAGCAATGACTTCTTATTAAAAACTCAAAAAGAATATATTTTCGTTTCAGTATACTTGTCAAGTATACATTATCGTCTTAAGAATATATCACACTTATTTTTATTTACAGTGAAAAAATTAAAAAATTATAAATTATTCTAAATAAATAAATTATTCTAATTTAAAAGTAATATAAAAAGTTCTGCAGAGATTTAGAACTTGGATAAAAAATTATTTAAATTTAATTAAAAGTAGAAATAGGCTATTTAAGAGAAAGATAATTAAAAAATAATGATAAAAATCTCAATTTGTTATATAACTAATACTTTAAATATTGGTTCAGGATAATTTCTGTAAATTATGTAAAGTTTGCAGAGATTAGATTATTCTGTAAATAAAAATTAAATTTTATTAAAAGTGCAAACTAAACGAGTAATGATATAAATAAAATAAAATTTTTATTTACAAAACAACTAATCTCTGCATCGCAATGAAACATTACATAAATAATCATGAATACTTAAAATATTTATATAAAAAAATTGAGATGTTTATCATTATTTCTTAATTACGTTTCCATTAGAGCATACTTCTACTTATTTATTTGAATAATTTTTGATTCAGGTTTTAAATTGCCGCTAAATCTTTTTGTATTATTTGTATTATTATTATATGTATTATTTTTGTATTATTTTTAAATGCGATTTAAAATAATCTATAAGTTTTCCATAATTTTTTTATTGTAAATATAAAAATTAAAAAAATAGGTGTAATATATTCTTAAATAAAATTTAGTTTTAGAACAGTTCCTCCATTAATTTCAACCTTTAAGCCTCGGTTCTCTCGCGGCGCGATATGGGTTGTGTGACGTCGGAGGCGAGAGATGACATGTAAAAAGATTCTTGCGTCATATAGCTTTATCTCGTACTTTTCATACAACTAGATCTAGTGATCTGGTAATTTCTGATAGCTAAGCAGTGTACGATTATTTCAAGATTTATTTTACACTTTTACGTGATTTACTGGATAGATATCTTACTTTCTGATATTTTTTACAAGTTTTAAGAATACGAAAATATCATGTTTTTAAGGGAAAAGTATAGGACAAAGCTATACGACGCAAGAAACTTTTTACATGTCATTTCTCGCCTCTGACGTCATAATTCAATATGGCTGCAGAGAGACAACCAGGCCTTAATATTACATCTCATTCTAACAGCGCAAAAGAAGACACACGTCGCGTCGTGCCACTTCACAGAAATAATGCTGTGCCTTTACTGTGGAATCTTATCTGGCTCGCGAATGTTAGGACAGATGAAACTAATGCAACATTCGCAGTACACTCGATTTGCGCGATTTGTATCCTTTCGCAATACATTTTTCATAATATTTACTTTCGCGAGGCGAGTGTTTCGATTTTGAAGCGTGGCTGAACGGCCCGCGAACGTATCCTCTCTCTCTTTCTCTCTCTCTCTCTCTCTTTCTTTCTCCTCTCTTTCTCTTTTTTCCGCTTCCGTCCCGCGGCTCGCTCGCTTCGATAAGCACGGAAGCGAAAGCGCTCGTCTCGGCTTTGTTTCGCACGTCCGATATTAGATAAAATTGAGTTGCGTCTTCCGCGGCAAAGAATATAATTGATACGTCTTACGCGCCGCATAGCAACAGCGTTGCTCGTTGAGGTTTTTGCAGGCGTCGCAGCTCACGAACGGGCTCTCGTTCTTGCAGGTGCTGGGCAGGCAGCAGTATATCGTGCGACCGATTGGTAATGGAGGAGAGTTGCACGCCCGGGACCGGCAGCGACAACCCAGCGATTGCCGGAAGTAGCGGGATCATCAGCGAGGCCGCGTTGGCACACGCGCCAGCCTTGACCGAACGAAACCTCCGGGAATACGGAATTCCTCTGCAGCAAGCCATCGAAAAGGTGCTCCTTTTCAATAATCAACGAGAAGAATTCAGGATATTTATTAAGAATGTCATTCAATTTTCGAAATGTTTGTCCAGTTATTATATTCCGTTTATTGGAAATGTTCGAAAAATAGAAATCTACTTCTCGAGATTCGCTATTTATTATTTAATTATTTATTGAGAAATAAAGATATAAATTTTTTAAAAAGAGATGAATCTTCGATTGAAGGATGGCTCTTCGAGGAAAGATATTTCATAATAAAAATATAAATCAAGATGTTATTGAAATATTACATAAAAAATGATGTTACATAAAATATTATCAGAATTTTGGAAAGTCTTAAAACATTTTCTTTTTACAAAAAAGAATTTTTAATATTTTTAATTGCAATTTTTTTAAAAAGCTGCAATTTAACTGCAATTTTTTTAATTTTTTACTTGTATTTAAAATTGATATATAATTGTTGGTTTTTCGATATATGTTTTCCTTGACTACAATGTAATTCAATTGCATATTTAATATCGACATGTTATTTTTATTTTAAGTTTGAAACTTGGTGGAACTCCATATCTGTAACTTCCGGCGTTAAGCCGCGATTTGTCGTGGACGGCCAAGCACCGATGAGGCAATGCCTGCATCCGGAGGCTTGCAATAAGGACATCGAACTACCGGAATATTACAACTATTTCTATGATCTCCGGAAGGAATTCGTAGAGTGCTACTCGTCTCACGGCGAGTTGTCGACTCTTGGAGTGCAAGAAATGTTGCAATGTATCCTTTCACGCTGGTTGTATAAAAGCTGTCGTTCATCTGTTGATTTTATCGCAGATGTTTTCTATTTAGTGTGTCTTTTTTATATGTACATATAAGCATTTATGAAAGCATTTTTCATTTCTTCTTTTTTATTCTGTCTTTTATTTATAATACGGATATTATCTTTGACATCGCTTTGCCAATGCATGCTTTACTAAGGCAAGAAAATTGAAAAAATCATGATGAAAATATTCTATATATGTGTCAATAAATTTTATTATTTAACTAGTTAGGTAAATAATGGAATTTATTAACACACATCGAATATCTCAACATGATTTTCTCCTCCGAATTTTCTTGCTTTTAATTTTGGGGAGATCAGAGCTAGAAATTGTGACTTAATTTATCGATAGTTAGATACTATGCTATCTTAACTTGTTACTATCTTATGATAATGATTCCCAAAAATTTTTTTATTTGTCTCGAGCACATCTTAAGAAGATCAACTAAAAAGGATAGAACAAAATTTTTCTTGGGACAGTCGGTATACTTCAAAGTACGCCTATCAGTTAAGAAATCTCACACGGTATTGTATGCAAATGTCAACGTGCATGTCCTCGCCGATGTTGTACGCCGATAACCGCTCGCTGTGAAACGATATTGCGGTCTTGTTGTCAAACTCGAGCGATGTGTAACAACCGGCATAGGTATATCCGATGAAGAAATCCCCGCGTGTCATACCATTTGTAAATTTCGTTTTCAGGTCGGGGACCTTCGCGACGCGTGGCCGTCAGGCGGCGCGACGGAAGTATGTCTGAGACATTCGACGCGATCTCCGACGATAGCATCGGTTGTTCCAAACGGAATCAGTAGCAAGTAGTCTTCGTGGTCGTACGGAATACGGGCGCACGTATCGCGTCACCTATCCGCTGTCATCCGCGGAGTCGAGCGCGATTGTGACGAATCTTCTCCGGCTCTGTCTCTGGCTGATTCCACGAATTGTCCAAATTGCCATAAATTGGATGAGGAAAAATCAAAAGGGAGGAAGGCTAGATTCATAGCAGTTTCAACATTGTTTTTCGTACGTGGAGTATCGAGTTCCTTTTTTTGGCTTCGACATATACATTTAAATTATGCTTCGAGTTGAAGCGGACAGGTACGTTTTTTTATTTCATATCTATCTCCGCCTTGTCTGGGAGATAGCTGAAACATCTAGTCTGGGAGACAGCTGAAACGTCTGGTCGTTAATTGCATTCAGAATCATTTGAAAAATAAGATTCCGTTATCTGTCGATCGCGCTCCAAGCTCGATATGAGATCTTTTAATCCCACGACTCAAATAACTAAATTAATCAATCTTGATTTTTATTTATTTATGAAAGTGACGTTTGATTCGATAAGAATATCGCGATATCGCTTTTTTACTCGCGGATAAAATTTATATTGAAACTCGCATCCCAATAAAAGTGAATAATAATCGCAGTCTCCTTCCGTTCGACTCATCTCGCTCTTGTTTTATGACAACGTGGGCCTGGCTTATACTTCGATTGTAACAAAGATTTGAATTGTCAGGTTGAGATCTTTTGCGCAAAGTCCGAGGTAGCAGAAGTTTCATCCTCCCAAGCGCCTGACACGAGAGCATTTGTCTCAAATCCAACCTCGTCGAAAGGCTACGTGGTATCGGCCTTCCTTTTATATCCACCATCGTGTCGTGTCTACCTGACACTAATAAAACAAGACCACCTGCGCCGCTTGAGACATATGTGTACGAATATGCATGTATGCATATCGATCGACTCACCGACTTCACCTGTTGAATGCGAGCCACGCTCAAGATTAGCTGTACTTTGATTTTCTACTTCTCACACGACACACGCACACACACTCATTCATGCGAGTGCGATTGAAGATTTATGTTAAAAGAAATTTATCGTAAAAGATTTAGTTATCTTCTCATTACATCTCCTTACATTTCTCAATGTTACATAAATGTTATTTAAGCATCGATTTAAAATTCATCTAAAAATATCTGCTCTTAAAAATGATGAATTTGTAATATTATCAGATTAATATTTTTTTTCTTATCTCTGTTTAACTATTTCTAATATAACGAAATCATTGACGTCTCTCTCATTACTCGCATTTCGGTTAAAACTTTCGAAAGTGTCACTTGGCATGTCAGTTCCCAAGACGCTGATAAGAATGAATATATTATTAAGTGCATGTGCAATACTCATTAACATTTTTTCTTATATTTGCAATAAAAAAATAAAAAACAGAATTAGAAAAACGTAAAAGATTACACGATTTCTACAATGTATTTCCACTTTTTTAATATCGAATTGGATATCTAATATTATATACTATCGTTATTTCTTGGCAGAAATGCGTAGCGAAATTATTACATTTTCAAATAGAAGCAGATCAAATAAAAAAATCATGATGATTCATTTGAGAATCTATGTGCACAAAGAATTCTTTCTCGCGTTTTCTCTCAGATCTTTCTTTTTCTCAGAAATATCGAAAACGTGAACTTTATTCCAAGTTTCTTCTTTTGTCGAGCAGGTTGTATTTTTAGATCATTCGTTTGCGATCGAGGAAAAGATGAGCAGCGAGAAACGAACATCGTACTTTACAATCAGTAACGACCAGATGACTTGAGAAAGTCTCGACAAGGCGATGCCGCCTTATCGGGATACAGTTTAAAGGTCAACTCTTCGATGAAGATATCGGTAGCAGACCAGTGACGAGCGAACGTCACGTATCTGTATATCGTATATCGTTATGTTTCTCTCCTTACTTCCTTTCCTAATTTCTGATTAGGTAGGCGTTTGATGTTAGTTGCGTGATCCGTACTGTGGTACGTATTACCTGGTCATTACAGGAGTGGCTGTCCACTTATAGTTCGTAAACCACAGAGTATATAACGCTCCTTATAATGCACGTTTAACATTGCTCTATCTAACATTGTTTATCAAACTGTATTTTCTACCATCGTCTCTTCCATCGTTGTTTGCCTAACGCACTCGATGTCTTGAACTGGCATATCGGAAAATCTGTGTCAGTCGAATATAAAAAAATTTGTTTTGTATATACTATTACTCTGTATATTCTCTTTCTCTTTTCCATTATCGTTATATAAGATTTGTATAATCGCTAGGGTCACATGCAAAGTGGCGATCGATGTCATTTATAATCAAGGGGTTTGCACACGCGCGAAAAAGGAAACCGCATGAGAGATACAAAATACTAATTACACGAATTATTATTTTTTATATTCTGAAACTTTTAAAACTTTTATCTTTGTGTTTTCGTGTACTCTGAAAAGAAAAAAAAGAAAAAATGTTGAAATCTTGAACTTTCGTAATCGCCCATTTCGAAAATTACTACTACTTGATTATTCATATTTTCTCGTTTATTACTAAATTTAATAAATTTTATAATAGTATTTTAATTAACGATAAGAAAAGAAGGGCATAAGATAGCTAAAACTAAAAATCTTACGTAGTTACTGTTTTAATTAATTCGAATTAATACGTGGATCGCAAGAACTCGAAGTTAAAGTCGCTTAAATTTCGTCTTTCTTATGGAAAGTACAGACAAATAATTTTGGTTGTCTGTATTACAATATCAGAGCTGATTGTACTGTTAAGAGATTAATCCTTGACAATTAAAAATCAGATTTTGGAATGCCGCCTGATACTGAGAATGATTTTCACGTGAAAGAAATACAGGACATGATCAGCGTGATACAGAGGATGATCAAGGACGGTAAGCTAATGAATACCAAGAATGCAGCATATCTGGTGTTTTAATACACATATCTATGTCGTGCTGAATGCTGCTAAAAAAAACATATCTGCGTATCAAAGTATTTCTTGGATCAAAAAAAAGGTTCAATACAGTTTATCTAATCTTGGAGATTACGAATTTCTATAAATTTTACTTGAAAATTAAGAAACGGATGAGACCCTACTCTTTGGTTCTCAAATAATTTAGTACTCGGCAGTACGTATTATTTTTCTTTTCTTCTCTCTCTCTCTCTCTCTCTCTCTTTCTCTTTCTCTTTTCTTTCTCTCTAACTCTCTCATTTTCTTTAACTCTGCGCTCGTGAGAGATAAGACCTTTGCACGAGCTACGTGCGCATGTACACACACGCACGGTGTAACATTTCCATACGCATTTCTCCAAATAATGTGCAGTATGTTTACAACGCAACGACGATGGCCTTGGAGGTCGCGAGTGTATCGCTGATTAAGTCGTTCTCGTCGAAGTCGCTCTCTTCAAGTGTCCTTCTTTGATTTCGCGGAAAATATCGTGCATTTTCTCGAAATATCGCGCTCTCGAGTAGTTGTTCTTCTAGATTTCGAAATTTGCTGGTTCTTGATCGATCTTGTTCTCTCTGACGCTCTCCTTCTCTCTTCCTTCCTGATATCGCATCCGAGCGAGCACAGGTCAAGCCACGCAATGTTCTAAGCAGCGTTGCGGATCTCTTATCACAGTGACACTCAACCTAGGGAAAGTTACCTCGCTGCTAATATACACGCGTTAACGCGTGTTTATTGTGCTCGTAAGGGAAAGGAAAAGAAAGGAAAAAGGAAGAGAGTTGCACTTGTGACACCACCCTGTCTTTCAATCTATCCTACTCTTGGCGGAACACTACGCGTTTAATAGTAACGCTAACTAAAGGCAGATTGAATCCGTATTTAAAAATCTTCCATATGAACGGAGCATCAGTTTTCGTTGGACTCATCACGGATCCGTCGCGTGACGATTCAGGAGAATATTTGTAAAATGTGATTCTTGATTTCTTCTTTCTTCATTCGTATCGTAATTTTTCAATTCGAGCGACGCTTCCTTCACGAGAATTTCAAATAATACGAAGTCACAAGAATGAGCGAGAAAACGATCGATTTAACGTGTGTATTTCGCAAAACGAATTTTTACTTGTCGACGGCGCACATTTCGCCGAGGCCGCGAATCGAATGATCGTTTCGTGCAGGTATGAGAAATCGGAGACTAACCAGCGGATATAGGATTACAAAAAGGAAACGCATAAGCGCAAATTTAGAAGATATTGTGCATTGTCGCCGGCAGAGGCTCGGATTTGCGAGCTAAAACCCGATCGTTTTTTTCTTCCTTCGTCAGTTTTGATCAGCGTACTCTATTTAAATTGCTGCGAAACAGATTTTTCGGTTTTTCGAGTTTTACTATATTTCGAATTTTTATATATTTACAGCTAATCTACATCATATTCAAGAATTTTCCTTAAGGGATTCCATTCTTTTGCCGACGTTCTGTCGAAAAAGCAAAAAAATATGTAAAATTGATTCGATTATCTGAACTCTTCACTTGCAATTTTGATACAAGCTAAATTTCACTCATAATTTTTTCGAAGAGATTCCTATTATAAATAAAGATTTTAACATTTGAATTAAAAAACCTATTTAATAATAATATAATAGATGTTGAAGAGAAAATCTTGAATTTTTCCAGATTTTTTGAAAGTTTAGAACAGTAAAAAAAATGAATTGCAAAAAAGATCCACATTGCAGACAAAAGGAATAAAAATATGATTGCAGACAAAAAGTTAAGAATATTTCTTTCCTCATACGAATTATATTCGAGGATTTCTCAATTAGAAATGCATTTCAGTCAGCTATATTTTCCTTTTAACGCTTTTCGCATCTCTCTCTCAAATGAAAAATAATTACAAAACAGTTCTCATTGATATATTCTGCCGAAAATAAAAAATTGTATAACTTCATAAAATCTATTCAATTTTAAGAATATTTCAAGATTTGTTTCGTCCGAGGACTTGAGGTTTTTCAACGATAAAAAGCCACCTTGGCGAAAATAAAGATTGAAGCGTAAATTGAATGCAAAGGAAGCGTGACGCAAAAATGTAAGCACACCCCCTTCTAGAGATGGGAACAATGAAAAGAAACATTAAAACGCTTCTTTTATGCTTCTTTTACGTCTCGTTGTTCCAATCTATGCTCCCTAGAACATTTGCTCATCATACTTTTGTCACTCTTCCCTTACGTTCAACCTACGCTCTACTTTTTTATTTTCGCCAGGCATTTCATTTTTCACATTTCCATATATCAAATCAGACATACGAAAAGAAACGAACGAGAAAGAAGAAAATAGAAAAGAGTACAGAAAGTGCAGCTAGCACGAAGCGAACGTGTGTGCGAGCCTACGACGATCTTGTAGTCTTGTAGTCGGTGGTTGCAGTGGTGTGCACGTCGTGGATGTTTACACGCGACGCGTCGTACGCGATCCACCGCGCGTCTACCACGACGAGGACGTGCCTCGCGTTACATTCCAAAGCGACGACGCTTCGACGAACGTTCGTCGAGGAAATGTCGCTCGAAGGATCGTTCTTTCGCGAGATTCAATTCTGAAATCGATCGGTAAGAGATGTTTACCTTATCGATTTCCGAGGTTAAATCCTCGCTGCGTGCGCGTTTCCGATTCCTGAAGTGCATTTGTCGCATTGATCGTTCTTCCTTGCCTTTCTCTCCCACATTTCGAATTTATTCGCTTTGCATTTTAATTGCGAAAAATGTATGTGACGTAACGCGGCTGAAGGGGAGATCGCTTTGCATACGCTGCGTCACTCTCGACTGCGTTTATTAATATTTAATTCTTAATATATGTTAAATTATTGTATTTGTGACGTAATCGTATGTTGATTTTCAGGTCACGTTTTTCAAAATCCAGAGGTGATTAATATTGTCCTGGAACCTGGGATATGGTGAGTTTACAAGCTTTATACTCTTAGCTTGTATATTTGCTTTGATTGTATTATCAACTAACGAAACATAAATTTATCTGCAGCTCTAAAGACGAGGAAGTGGATAATGATTGCGTAGTGAGAGCACGCGGTCTACCCTGGCAATCTTCAGATCAGGACATTGCCAAATTTTTTCGTGGGCTGAATGTCGCCAAGTAAGTGTTATTTTGGAGATTCGTAAAGCAAAATTAAATATACAACTAACAGAAGTTTTGAAAGCAAATAAATTAATTGTCCTCTAACTATCTTTTGATATTTATGCACAAGCCACATGGATCTGTGTGAAGCAGGTAATTGAGATAGTCATATTTTTCCTATGATGCTCTTAGGTGCACAGGTTCTGCCATTTTGGTTTCTCCTATGTAACATAACGATAAACGAAAGGACTTATATTCTTAGCTATTTTATAGCTATTTATACTTTTTTATTTTAGCTTGTTAGCTATTGTACAAAGTAAAGCATAGACAAGCATTATTTGAATCTTATATGCTACACGAATCTAACTATAATTCGGAAGATTAGAATTCTTGTAGAACGTCATTAAAAGTTATATTTATGAATACTTTAATGACTGCAAATTACAAGTAGAAGAACTCGTCGCTGTACGATATATATATATATGCTAACAACTGGTGTAATAACTTTTTTAGGGGTGGTGTAGCTCTTTGTTTAAGTCCTATGGGAAGGCGTAACGGCGAGGCATTGGTACGGTTTATTAATAAAGAGCATAGAGACATGGCACTGAAGCGGCATAAACATCACATGGGTGCACGATACATAGAGGTTTACAAGGCCTCTGGGGAGGATTTTGTTGGCGTTGCTGGTGGTACGAGCGGGGAGGCACACGCTTTTCTGTCACGCGGGGCTCAAGTCATCGTTAGAATGAGGGGCTTGCCATATGATTGTGTTGCTAAACAAGTGGTACATGATCGTTTAAATAATCTAAGATCTTATTTGTTATTCTATATATGATAACGAGTTTCTCGATTATATATCATTTATCATTTTTCTATTGTATACACTATTATGGTAATTTCCTCGTAGCTGGAATTTTTTCATTCTGGACAAAAACCATGCCAAGTGTTGGATGGCGAGGATGGCGTGCTATTTGTAAAGAAACCAGATGGCAGAGCAACAGGTGATGCATTCGTATTGTTCGCAAAGGAAGAAGATGCAGTAAAAGCGTTGAGCAAACACAGAGACTGCATCGGCAGCCGTTACATTGAACTTTTTCGAAGCACAACTGCGGAAGTGCAACAGGTAGATTCCTGTGATTTCAGTGAAATGTCATAACAGTAAGAAACGTGCATTTTTATTGTGATACGTGATTTTGTTATATATAGATTACATTATATACATTATATATGTATACATATTGTATACATATACATTACACATTATATATATCATATATTTTGTTATATACAGGTTCTGAATAGAGCGACTGATCCAAAGCAAGTGATATTACCACCACCTCCTATCGCGCAACTTCCACCTCTGCTTCCTCAAC